CTCTTGCCCTTCTCTCACCCATCTCCCCTCTTTCCCTCACTTACCTCTCTTTTCTCCCACCTCACTCAGCTCCCCTCCCTTCTCTCCCTCTCTCCCCTCCCATCACTCCCTGCACTCACCGCCCTTCTTCTTGCCCTTCTCTGCTTCCTTCTCCGCCTTAGGCTTCTCATTCGCGATCACAGCAGCAGCAGCGCTGATCTCCTTGGCGTCCTTCCCCACCAACGGACCCTCACTCATCTCTCGACCAGCCCGCTAATCCCCATTCCGCTCCCCATCCCCAACCCTTCTACCCAGCCATCATGTGCGCCCCACCCACCAACCTCTCCATCACTCCTCCCTCTTCTCTCCCCCACTCACCGCCCTTCTTCTTCCCCTTCTCTGCCTCCTTCTCTGCCTTAAGCTTCTCATTCGCGATCACCGCAGCAGCAGCGCTGATTTCCTTGGCATCCTTCCCAACCAACGGAGCTTCCACCTTTCTCAGGATGTTCTTGATCAGCGACACATAGTGAAAGCTTTTCTGCACTTGACGGGAGGGAGGAGGGAGGGTGAGGGAGGGAGCAAGAGCAGGCACAAGAAGGCATGAGCAGCGCGCGACTCATCTCATCTGATTGGTGTCCTTGCCCACCAGTGGAATTTCGGGGGAGGTCGAGGTGATAACGCTATAGAACAGTGAGTGGCATTTGAGAGGTCTTTAGCAGATGACTGACGAGAAATGGTGAGAGAGAGAGAGAGAGAGAGAGAGAGAGAGAGAGAGAGAGAGAGAGAGAGAGAGAGAGAGAGAGAGAGAGAGAGGATAGGTGGGACGTGGTGAAAAGTGGAGAAGAATGGTGGCACCGTGGCACCATTCGTATCACGAATTTCCACCATTTTCCTCCACGATACCAAAATTTCCGCCGCTTACCGAGTGGGGAGTGATTCTGGCGGCAATCAGGTCTGCAAACTCGTTAAAGTCTGCCTCGCTTTTAGGTAGAAAGTCGTCCAGTGACCGCTCCGCCTCCTTTTTCTTCCCACCAAACAGCTCCTTTGTTGCCTTAAAGTCGCTCTCCTCCACGAGCCTGTGTGAATATGCGCGGACAGGGAGAAGGGGGGAGGGGGGAGAGGGGAGGGAAGCGGGAAGAGGGGAGGGAGGAGAGGGGAGGTAGGATGTGGGAAGGAAGGGGGGAAAGAGGGGAAAGGGTGGTGTTGAAGTGACCGAAGCGGGAGTGGGGAACATGTGGGGGAGGAGGGTGGGGGGAGGGGGGTGGTGGGGCGGGTGTGGAGGGACAGGACGAAGGGACATGGGAAGGGGGGTCATGAAGTATCACAATTGCAACAGAGCTAAAGAGAGGCGTACTCTAAGCTCACCCTCACCATTGCAGTCTGAATTTCTCGACCTGAGGGTCCACAAGCACTCTATCATCCACCTCCTCCTCCTCTCTCGCTCATCCCCCCACTTTCCTCTTCCCCCCCACTCCCAACCAGACACACAAATACACTCACTCTGTCCTTCTCACCGCTGCTGTCTTCACTTCTTGGCCATCTGCAAGCACTCCATCATCCACCTCCTCTTTCCCCGTCCCCCTCCCCTTCTTCCCCCCCTCTCCCGCCCCGCCACCCTCCCTCCCCTTCTGCCCTTCCCTTCCAAAACACACACCCAACAAACACCACTCTCCTACTCCCCCCTTCCCTGCTCCTCTCTCAACCGCTTCTCTCACCGTTGTTGTCTTAGCTTCTCCGCTACAGGGTCTGCGAGCACTCCATCATCCACCACCTCCGCTTCTAACCCCCCCACCCTCCCCCCCTCCGGCACACGCCCAACAGCAGACACACACTCGTCCCCACTCTCCCTTCTCACCGTTGCTGTCTTAGCTTCTCCGCTACAGGGTCTGCGAGCACTCCATCATCCACCTCCTCCTCCTCCTCCTTCTCCTTGCCCTTGCCCTTGTCCTCCGCTTTCTTCTTCTTCTTCTCGCCCTTGGGCTTCGCCTGCACGCCACCAGCCATCCAACAGCATCATCACCAGCACACCAACAAACCCGCAGCACACCAGCAACCAGCAGAGCAATAACACACCACCGCACCAACACACCAGCACGCCAGCACAACAGCACACCAGCGATCAAACACCAGCACTGCAACACCAGCACTCCAACACCGGCATACCAGCACCAGCACCAGCACATAATCCGAGACACACGGTGGAAGCTGCTACTGAAACGGCACAACAGCAAGCGCCAATGTACACCTTGTAAACGCCAACCTCTCTCAGCAACTCCTCAACAAAACGGCAAAAAAAAAGGCTAAAATGCGAAAAATCAAGACGCGGAAAAGTCGAGGGCGAGGGGGACTGACTGAGGCGGTGGTGGTGGGGGCCGGTGCTTCTTCCTCCTCTTCCTCGTCCTCCCACGATGACTTCACCGGCTCTTTCGCCACCACGACTGGCGGCGGCTCAAAGTCGTCAGCATCTGCGCGGAAGTGAAAGACGGGGGGGGGGGGGGGGGGGGGGGGGGGAGGAAGGGGAGGAGGGAGGGGAAAGGAAACGGTTGAGGGGCGAAGGTGGGGTGGGTGGGGAAGGGGGAGAGGAGGACGCGATGAACGGGAAGGTGAGAAGAGATAAGGGGGACGAGGGATAATTGAAGGACGAAATTTTAAACCCGAAATCATTTCACTGGTTTTTATGGTTTTAGAAACGGGATGGCGAGTACGCTACGGACAGGAAACAAGTTTGCGAGCGACGCACAATAAGAATCAGCACGGTACTCCAGCAACCATTATCAAAGCTACAAGCAATGAATAGCCCACCAGGATCACAACCATACAGTTCTAAGGACCAAAGTCGACGGAAGGAAATGCTACGAAGAGAGGTGTCGAACCAATAGGGACTAATCACGAACCAATTGATAAGGATCATGCAGACATTCCAATTACGACCTTGAACGACCACAAGTCGAGCTGAACATTCATATTCTGGCTTAGATCGTGCATTCCGTTCACCTCGAGGATGCAGAAGAGGAAAAATCCAGAGCTGTGAGGGTAACAAAGTATACGTGCCATGTCACTATGTCTCAGCTGTTCAACAGCCAGGACTTTGACACGTCAGCAGTCTTGCTGACGTGTTATAGCAGCCGTCAACGTTCATGTGCCAGGTAGCCAGATATCGTAGCCTTTAAAGACTCATTAAACTCACTCCTCCATTAAGTCGGAGGACGAGAAAGGAAGAACGACCAGGAATAGTCGACAATGGATATTTCTCGATGCAACAGACCATGCATATTGGACGAATGAATAATCAATTCGCCACACCATCGATGATGCTCATGCCAAACACTAGCACGAGGCTCGCAGATACGCCGACGAACAGGTGAGACTGCTCTTGAAGCGCCATCCGTTTTGAAATGATCCTAGATTGCGAGCATCACTTTTAAGGCTAAAAAAACTACCTTGACGCTTACACAACAACACGAGTCCAAATCACCTAAGCTAACTAATGAGTCTCAATATGGCTGCGATGGCGCTCACGCAAAAAACCGAATCAGCCAATCCGCGAACTTACCCCAATCGTCTGACATTGCTGACGTCTTTCACTAGCCAAGCTTGAGCCTGAAACGGTTGAAACGATCAGCAACCTTATAGATATACCTTCACAAGTCAAACTTCTGGTGTGCTAATGTCTGCGGCGTGGGAGAGCGCGAGGAAACAGCTACTTCCTCTCCTTGGTTCTACTAATCTGCTAAGGATACTAGTTTCCGCAAGACAGGAAAGAAAAGTAGCTGGTCAACAGGAGCTGTCAGTCTTCTACGACTGGCCCTATATTGAATGAAAATAAACCAGAAAAGAAGAGCATCTGTGAGAAGGGGGTAAGTCCTAAGATGGAAATCTGAGCCATAATCAAGTTTCTGGCTGGGAGAATGCGTGGCTGTAAGGAGGATAGGGCTTCATAGGGAGAACGCCGATGATATCACCTGATTGGCTGGGGTGGGGGATTCCTGCTTCTGGAGGTCGCAGGTGGTACATCGTCCGAGCGACTGACACGTGGACTGCTGATGCGTTGACGAAGGCTTTGCTTGCTTAGCAGTTACATGCGCAATTGAGACCTGGTATAATTATATATGCTAGGCACGAGAAATAAAACTTTGTCAATGCTAAGCAAGCACAAAATGCTGGTACCGTACATTGCAGCTAGCAACAAAAACAGAAACATGCACTGATATCCTACTTGAATTCAAAACATGAACTAATCTAGACTCGAATATGGAAGTAGTCATTGTCGAAGTGGTGAAGTCGGACATAACCATCCTCTCCACCGCTTGCAAAGCTGCATACAAACACCAACAAACAATGAGCTCCCTGACCACTGAAGACACTCCAACAAAACAGAAAAGTGACAATGAATGAAGCCGAGAACCTGAGACGAAGTGACAATAATTCAAAGCTGCATACCTTCGTCCATCAGGGCCAAACGCAAGAGCGTTCAACGGGCCGAAATGGCCCTTCACCCGGCCAATCTCTTCTTCCAATACCTGCCAGAATGATCGTTCACAAGGGAAACAGCAAATGCATGGGCACTGAGCACAAGGCACTGAGCGACCTTCTTCATACGGTAATAACAAAACAGAATCGACTACGAGTAAGGGAGGAAAGCACAAGTGGCACTGAAGTAGCACAAATTCGTCCACAGAAGAGGCTCATGAGGGACAGAGAGGAACAGAGAAAACAGAGCAGGGATCACAAACCTTGTGGTAAAAGACGGCTTCAAATTTGCCTGCTCGGGACGAAGTGGTGGTGACAGATGCAGCATCCTGTCCTCCTCCCAGCACCACCTGCAGGCAAACGTCGGGAATAAGCAAACCACAGGAGAAAGCAATCATGACTATCAAGTGGTGGTGACAGATGCAGCATCCTGTCCTCCTCCCAACACCACCTGCAGGGAACGATAGGAGATAGGCAAACCACAGGAGGTAGCAATATGGTGATCACCTGTTGGTGACACATGCAGCATGGTGACCTCCTCCCAGAGAATGTCAGAGAGATAAAGGGAGGAAGAAAGGTGATGGTCGTTGTGAAGGCAGGGAGGGGAACTGATTGGTGAGGTAGTGAGAGTGGACGAGGAGAGGGGAGGAGGAACTGACATGGTCGAAGAGAGGGGAGATGTCAGCGGCGTTGATGGGTCGCTCTGTCTGGTACGTCTTGAGCAGCCAGAGGTGAGGCTCAAGTGGTTATAGAAAGGTGATACTAACACCGTCAGCCGGAGGTGAGACAAAAATTATCGAACTAGGAGAGGAACTGACATGGTCGAAGAGAGGGGAGATGTCAGCGGCATTGATGGGTCGCTCTGTCTGGTACGTCTTGAGCAGACGCAGTGTGCGTGTGTCCCACAGCTGCATTGGGAAGAGGAAAGTCACAAAGAACGAAACACACGTTTAGCAGGGGGGGAAAAGAGAGAAGAGAGAGAGAGAGAAAAAGATGTCACAGGTGGAAGCGATTCATCTGCTGGCAAGTTCTCCTGCTTAAACCTGAAGGAGAAAACTTGTCACAGGGACTACTGTGTACTTTCTCCCTTCTCCCTTCTTTTCCGTTTCTTCCAGCTCACCTTGGCACACGTATTATCCAACGACCCTGTGATGAAGTGCGACCCGTCTGCTGACAGATTACAGTGGCACAAACACTAACTCTTTCTAGCACATGCATGGAGTCTCACCTTGGCACACTTATCCAACGACCCTGTGATGAAGTGCGACCCGTCTGCTGACTTGGACAGTGACGTCACTGTCTTGCTGTGCGCCACTTCCGGCTCCGTCTCTCGCAGCAGCTTGCCCGTCTGAGTGTGTTGGAAGAGCAAGGGGCGGAGGGAGAGGAAAGAGGGAAGAGAGTGGGGTGGGTGGGAATTCACATGCATGGAAGGCAGGTCTTGCTGTGCGTCACTTCAGGCTCCGTCTCCCGTAACAGCTTGCCCATCCGAGTGCGTTGAGGAAGAGAGGAAGAGAGGAAGAGAGGAAGAGAGTGGGATAAATGGGGAAGAGGGAAGGTAGTAAGGTCGGCACGGGAAGCAAGCGATGGGCATAGAGGGGCACTGGGGAACGCGAGCATGTGGGCATGGATGGGCGGCAGCATCGTGAAAAGTCTTGATAGACGTTTCAAGTGTTGAGTCGACTCACACGGCGGCGTGTGCATGAGTAAAGCCCCCACCCCACCAGGGAACCCACCACCCGTCCGCCTCACCTCAGCGTCCTACATGCAAATAATGCAGTCCTCCCCCGTGCACCTGAGCGGGTCTGGTGGAGTGGGTCCCACACACACATGCTAGTCGCAGGCTCGCTAGCAGCACAGCACACCTCCCATGAACACCAACGTTATCACCTATTAGCCCCCTTCATCAACACCACCCATCCGCCTCACCTCGGCGTCCCACATGCGGATGATGCAGTCCTCCTCCCCCCCGTGCCGATGAGTGTTTTGTTGAGTGGGGACCTACCACTCACATTCACCCACCATCAGCACCCTACCTATCACTACCATCCAGCATTACACCCATGAACACAGCACATCCGCCTCACCTCTGCGTCCCACATGCGGATGATGCAGTCCTCCCCCGTGCCTATGAGCGTCTGGTTGAGAGGGCCCCACACACAGCGCATGATTCGGCCCTGGGGACCCGTGATCTGCAGCACTGACTCGTCCTCCTCTGATGGTGAAAAAACAGAGTGAGTGGAGGGGAAGAGCGTCAGGTAGGAGGGAGGGTCAGGGACACAAACAAATGATTCGGCCCTAGGGACCCGTGCTCTGCAGCACCGACTCCTCCTCCTCTGATGGTGGAAGTGGAAGGAGCATGGGCAGGGAGGGAAACAAAAGCAGCACTTATCCAACAGGGAGACGCGCAGCGCATGATTTGGCCCTGGGGGGCTGTGACCTGCAGCACCGACTCCTCCTCCTCTGATGGCAACAGAAGGGGGGAGAGGCGGGAGACAGATGAACGAGCACACGGAGCGGGAAACTGAGAGGCCCACCACAGCACATGGCACGCAGCGCATGGCATGCAGCGCATGGCACGCAGCGCATGGCGCGCAGTACATGGCACGCAGCACATGGCACGCAGCACATGGCACGCAGCGCATGGCACGCAACGCATGGCACGCAGCGCATGGCACGCAGCGCATGACACGCAGCGCATGGCACGCAGTGCATTATTCGAGCCTGGGGGGCTGTGCTCTGCAGCAACCGCTCCTCCTCTGATGGTGGGAAAAAGACGGGGGAGGATAGGGACAAAACAGGTCCATTCACGTTCTCGGCTGCCCTCCTTGATCCGCTTCACGTGAATGGCCGGCACGCTGCCCATAAACGGGTCCACCGTGATCGCCGCGAGCTGCTCGCCCTCCGCAAGAGTGACGGAGCTGCTCGCCTCGCCCTCCTCGCCAGAACAGAACTACTAAGGGCGAATGGCCGTTGTGCAAGAGAGACAAGGGGCGAAGGGCCGTTGGGGGAGAGGATGAGTGATGCTCACGTTCTCGGCTGCCCTCCTTGATCCGCTTGACGTGAATGGCCGGCACGCTGCCCATAAACGGGTCCACCGTGATCGCCGCGAGCTGCTCGCCCTCCGCGAGCGCGACGGAGCGCGCAGGGCCGTCCATGGTGAAGGTGTAGTACGGCGTTCCCGTCTCGACCTCCCACAGCTTCACGCTCTGATCCGCCGACGCCGTTATAAGCATCTTGGAGTCGCCTGTAGCGCGGATGAGGAGATTTGAAAAACCATGATGACGAGAAATGAACGGAAAGAGGGACGGGTAAGGCAGGGAGAAAGGGATAGAGGAAGAGGAATGGGGGAAGAGGGATCGGGGAGGATGGATGGTTGACGTAGCGTAAGAGCAAGGTACGAGAACGGTAGGAGCTTGAATTGCAATGCCCATGAGGTCGCAATCCTGATCATCAAGTGATACGCCACTGCCGCCTACCGTGACGGGAACGGAGCAAAATACGGCAAGTTTGGAGGCGCCTTAAAATTGCAAGGTACGAGCAAGGTAAGACCTTATGCTGCAAGTCCCATAAGGTCGTCCTCCTAATCGTCGAGTGGTACGCCACAACCGCCTACGCGTGAAGGGAACGGAACGGGAAAATTTACGGCGAGTTGCAGTATAACTTGAAAGGCAACAAAAAAAGGAAACCCTGATTAAACCCTCGCGTGGACGGCTCCTACCGTTCTGCCACGCGTCCTTAGTGGCTAGGGTTTGCATCGGCCGACTCGGTCCGCCCTGAATCGAAATAACCTAGAGCCTAGTGCCTAATGCAATTGAACAAAGAAGGACCTAAGCGCCAGAACTGAAAGACCAGGGAGGCTGCTAAACGGCTCCAATTCCGGGAAAATCACGGCAACTTCCTCGCAACCCGCACAGCGCCATAAGCGCCGTCGTAATCGACGAATCTCCTTCAAGCCTCAATAAGACAGGCGTAACGGACAATCAACGAAATCTATACTGTAACCGAAACCAATCCTGATCGCTCGTCTAGACATTGCACTGAACGTTACCTAGTCTAATAACCTTATCAGTCAAGAGAGATTCAGTCCAAACATTGACCGGATCGACAATACCTAATGAAAAACGGCCTCTCTAATCCCCCACGAGAGCCGTCGCTGCTCCAAACGGCTTCGTTACGTCCTTTGGATTCGCACCAACCCTCTCGTCTCTATCCGGCTAGTCGTGCTACGCCTCGCTTTACACCGACGATCAGTGAAGAGCACCGGAAGTTTGAAAATTCGTTATCCGAGCACTCACGTGAGACGTCGCACGTCCACACGGCTCCGTTGTGGCCCTTGTACGTGCCGACGCGCTCGCCATTATCCGTGTACCACACGGTGGGTTGGTGATCCTTGGCGCAGGAAAACAGCAGATCGCCGTCGCGATTGTACTTGAGGAACGTCAGCGGCCTCTCATGACCCTTCATCAGCTGCGGCCTCATCTTTCCCGAACGTAATTAATTAGGTAAAATCCTTAGTTTTGAAGGAGGTGGACGGCTATGGCGGTCTAGGCTATTCAGCTAGACAGCTATGAGTTGAGCTAGCCGTGCGTGAAAGCTGAAGGAAGAACGAGGCACGGAGTCCTGCGGATGTGCAGGAGAGAAAGAGCAGATACGAGAAGAAGCCGACTTGAATGTGCAAGGAATTTATCGTAGTCACCAGGTTCCTTGTTGCGTCACAATAAGGTTTCGTATGGTCTGGCCAGATGCGGAACGGTTGGAATGGGTAAAGAACCTGAATTGGTCTGGATTAGGTCGAGTGGGTGGGATGTTCTGACGTGAACAGCGAGCGGTTCAGAACGGCTAAGAGAGCTACTCACTGCATTAACTTTGTTATGAGTGGTAAATGGTGTGCAAGAAAATGCCAATACGTATGAGTGCAAGTGATTAGACACAAGTGAAAGCCTGTAAGATATTGTGTAGTTAGTTTCTGTGAGAGTCTAAAGCCGCTTGCTCCCTCTCCACTCACAAAAAGAGAGCATTCTCGCATAATAGGCCAGCCAGAGGTCCAGATACGGTATTCCTACTACAGAACACGTTCCAGGCAAACCTTAGCATAGCTTACCTTTCCATTGCATGCACCCCACACCGCTCCAGGGTGCACTGGGTAGACACGGATCAAGGTTTGAGACTTGCTACCGTAAATTGGGAAGGTGCAACTGTTGTCTAGAAATGAGCAAACCTTCAGGCCATCTCTGGCGAATTCTAGCCTGGTCTAGTGGAACAGGGCAATTAGTTCTTGTGCAATGATAGATCCACATGACAACTTGGTTCAAAGCTCTAAATGCTCACAGGACAGCAGGGGGTCATCAATTATTTTTATAAAAACTACACAATGTAAGTGCAGCAAAACATGGGATTAGGATCAGTGAAATACGCCACCCGATCGGTTCACCATTACGCCTGCTTCATGTGCTGTACAATGCTTCTAGTAGGGTATCTTGAATTCCTGAAATACAGGCGCCATGAGAACTGGAAAACGTCACAGCAGTGCGACACGTCCAGTAAACGATTCCTGCGACCGTAGCTGTTATCACTGCTGTCGCCGTTGCTGGCGCCTTTGCTGGCGCCGTTTAAGCCGCTGTTTGTGGCATGTGCGTTGAGACTAAACGTCACGCAGCGAACGGACACCAGTCTGTGGATGAACGAGAACCGTCCGCGAAGCCGTCTGTCCGGGAATGGGACACTGTCTGTCGGGAAACCGACAGATTTGATGGTGAACTGCCACCGTCTGACGGTGAATAGTCACCGTGTGTTGTTGAACGGATACCGTATGTTAGTAAAGGACACCGTCTTTTGGTCGACGGACACCTGTTCGTCAGGGAACAGACTGCGTCCGTTAAGAACAGAGAATGCACGGACACCGTCTGTCAGTGAACGGAGACCACCGATCCGCATCGCGAAAGGGCTTTTGTCCCCTGCGACGTTGTCACATCGCTGCAGTAGCACTTTTCGTAAAAGCACAGGACCAAGTGAGTCACAGTCAGCCGACGCGCGTCGCGGCTGTCAAGTCCCCATGCATACGCGCTTCCGCTTCCGCCACTTTCGCCGCTAAAGCCGCTGTTGCTGCTGGAAGGAGAACGCGCTTCGGGGCTTTCGGGAAATCCATCCTCTTCTGGACGTCCATTCACAGTGTAAGTGTCCCCTCGCGGTTCGGAAGCGTCTGACGACCGTGTCGCGTTTGCCGCGGCGTAGAACCGATTTTGCCGGATCTCCCTGTGCAGCAACTTCGCATCGTGGCCGTTGCGGAGATGCACGAGGAAATCGTGGCCGTCCGTCACTTGAAGCAGCCCGGTCGCTGAAGATTTTCTTAGCTCCACGCGGAACCCTAGCGCGGTCAGCTTCTGCTGAAGCTGGCTTAGTAGCTTCACCTTGACCATAATTGCTTTGAAGGAAAGGCTTGCGACGGAGCCGAAGTAAGGGCCATAGAGAATCACGAGAGTCGGAGGTTCTTTGGGGGAATCAACTGCGATATTCGCAGAACTTGTTCTGGGAGACAGTATCGCCATGGCGACAGTATCTGCTGATCGAAGAACTTGTTCTGGGAGAAAGAAAATCGCGATCTTGAAACTGAACTGTAAGGATCCCTGTATCTAGAAAGTTGCTCAACATCAACAAAAAGACTCTCCCCACCACGGAAAGATGGTCGATGCAAATCAGACGTACAACGATATAGGGTTCTCCCCACCTTTGATGTACCACGCGAACGCGGAGGCTGAAGGGCCAGGAGATGTGTGTGTCAACTCGGTGCGGGTGACTTTTTTGGGGGGATTTCAAAGGTTGATTATGGTTCACTATGGTTAAAAGCGGTGAAAGTCAAAAGCTGCTCATGAACGTGGTCTGCCAGACTAAACCGCGTCGGACGAATCATGAACGAGGAAGTATGACCCCGCCCCCACCGCGCAATGCGATGCGATGTGAATGGTGATGTGAATGATTATGTGTATGTGCTGTGTGATGCGATACGATGTGGTGGACTTGCCTCTCTGAAGATGGAAAGGAGAACCACCATCATCACCGTGACACCGCCTTGTGAAACTTACGTGCTGAGCGATTGTTCGTCATGCTGTTTCACGTGTTTCGTTTGACAGAAACTGACTCGACATGTTGTTTTGCCGATAATTAGACAAAGTGTTGGACAATTTTCAGAATTGCGCGCAGCACTGTAGACCAGACTCGTTCAGAAATATCCTGCCCGAAAGAAGAAAATTAATAATGGTACGGCATATTCACGTGACAAGATGGTGCCAAGGAGCATCAGTGGGAGGGGTGAAAGTTGGTGGCTTGGGGTGCTTGTTTATGCTGTACAGTACCGCACTGGACTCACGAGGCTGTCATCAATTCCCCGGCGACAATTCCTCTCGAAAGCAGTTGTTTCATTTTCAACCAAACATTGAGGCTGCCCCGTGTCTTCTGGTTGGGGTGGTGAGCAATCAAAGGGTTTTTAGTTAATCCCGCATTGTTACTGGAACTATACGCCAAAAGCGCAGCACTGTCGCTTCTGGCGCACAGTTACTGCCCAGTTTTCGATCACAGCGCAGAGTTAATGAGATTTCTACGCAGTGAAGTTTTCATTGGTCAAAATGTCAACGGCCCGACAACTCCGCTTGGATTGACGGCTATCGAACCGTTTGCAATGAATTTTGGGCAGACAAATATATTACCCTCTCAGATGGCATGCTGTTTAGGGAGCATCAACCCTAAACACTGGGCGGAATTGTTTAGGGAGCATCAACCCTAAACATTGGGCGAAAGTGTTTTAGGTTAGTGCCCTTTCCGACGGGTTCAAACTATTTCTTTTTATGGCTGCCATCAAGGGAGGCATCAACCCTAAACACTATGCGAATGGTTGTTTAGGATTGATGCTCTCTCTATATGGGCTTGAAAAATGTTAAACACCTGACTAAGTTCAACTTTTTTCTCTTACACAGTAGGCTTGTCGTTTCAAGAGATTTAGACCAATGAGCGTCGAGCTGCGTAGAAATCGCACTAACTCTGCGCTGTAATCGAAAACTGGACAGTAACCCTGCCCCAGAAGCGATGAAATGCGCAATTGGCTTACAGTTTCAAAAACCGTGCTTTGTAAACTGAAAGCCCGCAATCAAATGAATGCCTGGCCGTAGAACCTGAAAGGCTTTTGTTTACATTGAAATCATGTCGCACAGCCTAGTAACACGTAGAACGTCATTTGCGGGCACTTTCGAACTGCCAACTCCCATGTTTTTAGGAGGGAGTCGTAGCGGGGCCACAATCCAGCTCAGCACCTGCATTCCACCACAGCAGCCTTGTCGGGATCGTTGTTTGTTCAGAGGTGAGGGGCATTCATGTTGCATTTTCCAGCTGCATTACGTGTACCTCCATCCAGCGCAGCAATGAATGCTCCACAAAGTCGCTGCGCGGCGTCATGCGCGGCGGCTATGCCAATCATAAACGGCGGTGAACGAATCCTCTATAATTTCTATTCCAGAGGGCGATGCACGTCCCGCCAGAGCCTTCGCTTGTACGGAGTGTGGGAACAGTTGGCAGCTTCGGGCAATTGACAATTTGCTGGAAAAAACCCCACCATTGATTTTCGTCTTCCTGGTTGTGGATTTTTGTGGCTCCGCAACAGTCAAACAGAACCACTGGAGTGGAGACCCGTTTGGCTGCATCACATCCCATGTCCTCCGACACAAGACCAGAGGGTGCTGGGTACAGTGAAGGTCATCGTGTTAAATACCCCGGTTTTCGCAAGAGAGCTTATCTAAATTAATGAAACTACTGCATTTGCAGTAATGGCTCTTGCACTCTAGTCTATCACGCCTTTCTACAGCACACACTCCCCAGCCAGTCTTATCCCAGTGCCCTAAAACACCTCTTTCCCTTCTGGCCCCTCCCTTGGCACTTCTGCTGTGTTCAGATCTCATTTTATTAGTTGTGACTATGCAAACACATGAACATAGTGCTTTGCTGGATTGAACCATGGCACCATGTTTTCCAACAAAATACAAGCCGGACCTTAAGCAATTACCCACATATCGTAAATCCCGCCCTTCGGTATTGTCTCTTATAATGAATGGTCATTGCGGCTGAGACACGTCTAGGCCCGAGCCTGATAGCACGGATGTGACATTTAGTTTGCCAAATCTATCCACCAATTCCGGAGGAGGCTCGAAGTGTATTCCATTCAAAGGAATATTCATGTCCATTGCATACAACAGCGAGCCCTCCTTATAAGATTGCTGCTTTGAAACAAGGCACAATAGTTGAAAGGGGCGGAAGAGGAGAGGGCAGGGGAGAGTGGAGTGGGGCCGGGGATGGGAGGGAGGGCCTTGGTGAGCTCTAGAGAGGCGGTTCAAATGTTAGGAATTCCCTTATATATATATATATATATATATATTACGCATTCCCAATACGATGCAACTGCTTCTCGTATATGACTGCTGCATGCCTCGAAGGGCATGGAACATCCTGCACGTACCACGGCTATGTCCATGCCAATTGGTGACACTCACACCATGTGTATTTGCAAGTCAACACACATACTCACCTCATCATATAGCTCCAGCAGCTCGCTCGCCGCATTGGTTGGATGCGCATCCTCGGAGAACTTAAACGCATCCAACACCTCCACAGTGCAATTGAACCCCACAAACACCAACACGCCCAGCCCCACTCACCCACTCTCACCTCATTATATAGCTCTAGCAGCTTGCTCCCAGCATTGGTCAGACGCGCATCCTCGGAGATCTTAAACACAACTGAAGCACCAACGGTGCGATTCAACCCCAGAAACACCCACGTGCCCGGTCAGTCACGCACTCGCTCACTCACCTTCTCATACTCACCTCATCATACAGCTCCAGCAGCTTGCTCCTGGCATTGGTCGGATGCGCATCCTTGGAGATCTTAAACGCATCGAACACCCCCATGGTGCAATTGAGCCCCACAAACACCAACACGCCCAGCCCCACTCACCCACTCACGCACCTCATCATATAACTCGAGAAGCTTGCTCCCAACATTCGTCGCATGCGCATCCTTGGAGATCTCAAACGCTCCCGACTCCCCCACAGTGCGGTTCAGTCTCCGCAGCACCTCCCCCACATCCTCACACTCCTAAATGGCCACTCCACTTACCCACTTTCCCCCACTCACTCACTCACTCACATGCCCATACCACTCACCTCATCATATAACTCCAGCAGCTTGCTCCCAGCATTAGTCGGATGAGCATCTTTTGAGATCTTAAACGCGCCCGACTCGCCCACAGTGCGGTTCAATCTCTGCAGCACCAGCCCCACATCTTCCGCCAGATTCTCAAACCGCCCCACGAAATCAAATCGGATCTTGTCAAACCGGCAGGCGTCGATCTGCGGCTGCACGTGGGATTCCATGCGTCCCCGGCGCTGCTCCCGCATCTGCCTCAGCAGCCACGCAAACTCTCCCAAGGTGAACAGATCATCTCCCTTTTTCGCCTTGACCAGCCGCCGGAAGGGAATGAACTTGCGGAAAAACATCTGATGGGCGCAGGTGGATGATGGGGGAGGAGTAGAGGGGTGGAAGGAAAGGCTGGCAGTATGGTTGCATGTGAGTCAGCAATTCAGTCACTTGTGCTTGCAGAATCAGTATGTGGGGATTCACACATCTGTCACCATGCACTTTGTTTTTTTTTTTTTTTTTCATATATATCCCCCACCATTCCCCCCCACTTCCCTACAGCCACCCACCCACACGCAGCCACCCTGCATGTGCTTGTTCAGATACACGGACGCCAGCTGCGTATACGGGTTCCTCACAAACGAGAACTGGAAGAAGTCCGGGCGGGTCAGCAGCTCAATCGCGCAGTGCTCTGGGAAGTGGTATGCGAGGATGCATACATTCCCATTCCATTCTCCTTGCCTTCCCCCTACCCTTCCACTCCCCTCCCGTACACCACAATCCACCCACCCAACCACCCACCTTGTTCCAGAACTGTCTCGAGTAAGGAGGCCCCCCACCAACGTGCTTGTTCAGATACACGGACGCCAGCCGCGTATACGGGTTCCGCACAAATGAAAACTTAAAAAAATCCGGCCGAGTCAGCAGCTCAATAACCCGGTGCTCTGGGAAGTGGTATGCGAGGATGCGCAGGCCTGAGCGCGCCTTGTCATGGGTCAGAAACACGTCTGACACGTTGCTCTGCCCTTGTTGCTCTCGAAACCACGTTTTCCACCCTGTGCAGGCCACCTTGGGGACGAAGCAGTAGATCGCCTTGAGTTTTTCTGCATGCAAGGAGACAGGGAGATGGGGCGATCGGAAGTTGGGGAGAATCGGAGGACAGGAGAGACGGCTGAGTCGGGCAGCGTGCTGGGTAGGCAGTGGGAAGTGGGGGCCTGAGGCACGGGTAGGCGAGGATGCGCAGGCCTGAGCGCGCCCTGTCGTGGGTCAGAAACACGTTTAGGGGGGAAGGAGAGGGGGCGGGGAGGGGGCAGGAGTCTGTCACGTTGCTCTGTTGTCCTCGGAACCACGTTTTCCATCCCATGCAGGCGACCTTGGGGACGAAGCAGTAGGCAGCCTTGAGGCACTCTGGTGGTGGTTGTGGTTGAGGGTGGGAGAGGCGGGAGGCGGCAGGAGGGGTTGGCGAAGACAGTCACACAAGAAACATTGGCTTGGCCTTGCTGCTCCCGGAACCACGTCTTCCACCCCGTGCTGTCAAGAGAGGACAGGTGGGCTGCGGAGGCCTTACTTCCATCAACTCGTGTTGTTTAGGATAACGAAACAAACTCCATGAAAATGGCGGAAGGAACCACGTCTTCCACCCCGTGCAGGTGACCTTACGCACGAAGCAGGTGACCTTACGCACGAAGCAGGTGACCTTACGCACGAAGCAGTAGATGGCCTTAAGATTTTATGGTGGTGGTGTGGGCGGGTGAAAAGGGGGTAAGAAAGCGGTGATGAAGAGACATTCACACAGGACATGTTGCTCTGCCCCTTCTTTCGTGATAAAAGTAACATTTTGAGACGTCTCAAAATGTTAGTTTGATCACGCAGAAACATTCACACAGGACACGTTGCTCTGCCTTTTTGAGAATTCTCAAAATCCAGCTTGCTCTGTCTTTTTGAGAATTCTCTCACCGTCCATTTTGAACTGCTACTTCTCAAACGAGACAGCCTTAAGATGCCCACTATTGCACGTGGCAGCACTGTAATTACACTCAGCCACACGGGGAACCACACAACAGCCCTCCTCTCCCTCACCATCCACTATGAACTGCCACAGGAACCGCTGCTGGCTGGAGCGGCGCGCAGCCGCACAGCCACTCAGCAACTTCTCTCAGCCACACAGCCACTCAGCAACCTCTCTCAGCCGCACAGCCACTCAGCAACCTCTCTCAGCCACACAGCCACACAGCCATTGCAACTCATAGCCAGTTGCAACTCAACCAACAGCCCACCAGCCCCCCACTCTCCCTCTCACCGTCCACGATGAATTGCCGCAGGAACCGCTGCTTCCCGAACGACTCAGCCTTGGGAGCCTCACAGACAGTCGGCGCCACAGCGAATGGCACTCGCCGCACTGAGAACGACCCCTTCTCTGCAGCACCCGCAGCATCTGCACCACCTATTGCTGCCTCTGCCCCCTCTGCTCCCTCCCCTTCCACTCCCCCATCCGCTCCCCCTGCTCCTCCACTCCCCCTCTCCCCCAACCTCCTTCCCCCTTCCAACCCCAGGATCTCCCGGGCGGTGCGGGCGGTGGCCTGGGCGCGGAGGAAGCGGGCCTCGAGAGACGCGCGGGTGTGGATGAGCGCCGCTGCTGCCGACACCACCCACGCCTCCGCCACCTGCAGCTGCGCGCACAGCGTCGCGTTGAACTCAACGCTGCTGCTGCTGTTGCCAGCTGAATCAGCCTTCTTGCGACTGCTCTTGCCTGAGAGGTCAGACGCCATGCCCTCCCCACCTTTGTCCTTCGATCCCTCCCCGCTTCTCTTCTCCCTCTTCTCTTCTGATAACAACCTCCTCCTTTCCTGCTGCTTCTTACTCCGTTTCACCAGCTCTCCCTCCCCTTCCCCTCCTTCCTCCCCTTCTCCTCCTTCTCCCGCTTCGCCCATCTCGCCCTCTCCAACCCCCCGATCCCCCTCCCTCTCCCCCTCCCCGTCCCCATCCTTCCCCCGCCGCCTCTCCTCCCCTCCTTTCCCCCCAGCGTCACCAGCAGGGGAGGGGCAGGCTTGCAGGCGGGCAAGAGTGACGTCTAACAACAGGGGGGCGCGGAGGGGGTGGAAGGTGCGCGCTACAGCTGCTGCATCTGCCGGCCAGAACGCACTCATCGTGAAATCCACCCGCCTCCCCTCCCCTGCTCGCCCTGCTCCTCCTCCCCCTCCTCCACCTCCACCTCCTCCTTCACCTCCTCTTCCTTCTCCCCCTGCTGCTCCTCCTGCTGTTCCGGGTGCTGCTGCTCCTCCCATTCCTGCTGCTCCTGCTCCCAATGCTCTTGCTTCTCCTTCAGGTGCCACCTCCCCCAGATGCTGCCAAGCCAGCGTGCGCAGCGTGCAGTTCAGAAGAGGGTCATCAGGACAGCCTGGACAGCTGCCAGGTGGCAGCACATCATTAGCCTGCGGATTAGCATCACGGGGTGGGGTGGGTTCGAGAAAGATGGGAATGTAAGGATGCCACCAGCACTGGAAGCACTACGGCCTCGTTAGAGGGGATTTTAAACACGGGCAGTCCTTAGTACTGCCTCCAGCAATAAGGATCTGAACTGGATTGGATGGATCACTCTGATTCCAATCCCTACTCTCTTTCAAGGCACTTCACCACTCGCCTTGTAACCAGATAGAGAATAGCCACGTGTAGAGACGGTGTTTTTTGAGACGTCTCAAAAATGAGGATCTGAACTGGATTGGATGGATCTCTCTGATTCCAATCCCTACTTCCTCTCAAGGCACTTCACCACTTGCCTGTTTCCCCCAACCCTCCCTCACTGCTCTCACCTCGAGGTACACAGCGGTGGAGTGAGTCAGCCTAGAGAGCGCGGAGGCGGGGTGGGCGCGCATGATGGCCGCCACGCCTGCTGACGGCCGCACCCCGCCCAGGCAGGCCGCCTCCAGAGCCATCACGCTGCAGGCCTCGGCGGGGGTCTGGGAATGACACGAGAAGGCAGCGGAATCAGGAGAGGGGAATGAGAGGAATGGACACCAAAGTGAGGGAGTATTTGTGCTTCGCCTCAAGAAGACAGTGTGCAATTGCATTGTCACATCGCAGATCAGTTTCATTTGTAGAAACAAAGATTGGTCGATTATTTTTGTATATATGTAACAACATAAACATAAATAACAGATCTACTATTTAACGCATCAGATTGATTATTTTACAGCTTACCAGGGACGAAGAAGCAAGGCCCCATGATGCACCAATAAGCAGAAGAGAGACGGAGTGACTTTTGAGTCGTCTCAAAAGTCACCTCTTTCCAGCTTACCAGGGACGAAGAAGCAAGGCCCCATGATGCACCAATAAGCAGAAGAGAGACGGAGTGACTTTTGAGTCGTCTCAAAAGTCACCTCTTTCCAGCTTACCAGGGACGAAGAAGCAAGGCCCCATGATGCATCAATAAGCAGAAGAGAGACGACAGTGCCTCCCTCCGTCAACACCCCCTCTGCGCTCCTCCCACTCTCACTGCCAACGGCAATGCTGCTGGCAGTGCTGCTGTCACTTGCACTGGCAGCACTGTTGAAGCAAGGTGGTACAGAGACCTGCGAAGATGGGAGGGCGTGGAGGGGGGAGCGATGTGGGGAGCAAGTGGAGGGAGGCATGAAGGGGAGCAAGTGAGGGGACGCGTGAGGGGGAGGGGAGCAAGTGAGGGGATTAGGGGAGCAAGTGGAGGGAGGTATATACTGCAAGTCACCTGCTCTACCCATCGCTTCTCAGCTCTGTACCCCCGTTGAACCATCTCAGGGACGCAAGAGGTGAGTCAGTGGGCATGTCTGCCTGCATCACCACATCACACCTGGTCAGCTGTCCATCAGCCTCAGCAGCAGCGCTGCATCTCCCCACACACCCCCCCCTCCAGTCACCTGGTATACCCGTGGACCCCGTGCCCTGTGCTTACTCACATTCAGCCATCTGAGGGATGCGTGAGGCGGGTCGGCGGGCATGTCTGCCTGCACCACCACGTCCGGCCAGCTACCCATTAGCATCAGCAGCAGCGCTGCATCTCCCCAAACACCCCCCCCAGTCACCTGGTATACCCGTGGACCCAGTGCCCTATGCTTACTCACATTCAACCATCGGAGAGAGACAAGAGGCGCGTCAGAGGGCATGTCTGCCTGTACCACCACGTCCGGCCAGCTACCCATTAGCCTCAGCAGCAGCAGCGCTTCTGAGCCTGCGCTTGCTGCTGCTGCTGCTTCTGATCCTGCTCCTGCTCCTGCTGCCCCTGCTTCTCCTGCTGCCGAGCCTGCAGCAGTTCCTGCAGCAACAGGTTCGGATCCAGCCAGCAACACTCGTCTTATTCGCTCCCTGTCAGGAGGCCCAGCAAAGAGAGCGTCAAATGGCGCATGGGGAATCAAGTCACCCGTACTGCTGCTTCTGCTGCTGCTCCCTCCGCTTTCTCCACCAATCAAAGAGCTACGTTCTTTCCGCCACACTACAGTGACCAGACCCCTGTCCCCAACGCTGACAGAGTTATCATATACGTCAGCAGACTTGACGGAGCTTACGGAACTCCCACTGTCCGTCACCCCTGCTGACTGAAACCGTCTGGCCAAAACGGTGGCGACAGCTGGCGCAAGGCAGAGCGTTTGAAGTTGTGACATTGTCCCATCCTGCAATGTAGCATCGCATGCGGGAAACACGGGATTATTGTTCTATGTATCACATAGTGGACTCAGAAGGGGTACCAGGTCGCGAATTCTCAAAGGATATAAACTGGAGCCCCACAACGGACGAGACAAAAAGGAAAGAAAGGTAAAAACACCGGACAAGACAACATGGCACAAACCTCGGCCAGAGCAACAACTCGTGATGAAGGCTGGGTTGTGAGACATCTCAACACCCAAAAAGGAAAGAAAGGTAAATACAGCTGAGTCAGCATGGCACAAACCTCGGCCAGAGCAACGACTTTGAATGATGGCCTGAGTGATCCTCCGTTCGCACTGAAGCTTGTTCCCGTGAGACCAGAACCGCTGCTGTCAGCAGCACCACTGCTTTGAGCAGCGATGGAGCTTGATTCCATGACAAATGGACTGCCGCTGTCAGCACTACTGTGACCTCTGGAGCTTAATTCCGTGTCATCTGAACTGCCGCTGTCAGCAGTACGGTGAGCAGCGGAGCTTGTTTTCGTTCCAACAGCAACACGACTCGCAGCATCCTCGTTCACGCTAAGAACTGCAGTTTCCCGCGCCGTCGCTGTTTTGCTACCGTTATACGCCTCTAACGGAGTCTGACGGACCGTCACTAATTCGCTCTCTAGAGTCACCATAACTGGACTGAGATCATTGGTGTCTCTCTGTATGGACCAATAGAAGTGTAGCACGCGTCCAATTGCTGTAACACCGATGAAAATAAGCACCAGGAGGACGAGCCAGATGAGCGTTGCGTATATCGAAGTGACAGTAATGAATCCGGCGACGTCACGCTTTCCCTTCGCCTTCTTGTCTTTCTTTGAACGGCGTTTGGAAGAGTAACCCCCGCCGAATCCTAGGATTCTGAAGCACGATGCAAATCTCCGACCGACTGCTTGTGACGACGATTGGAGCCATGAAATGGGGAGAGAATTGGAGAGTACGGATGGGTAAGACTGAGAGGAAAGACTATCAGCAGTGGGTGATATAAGGCAAGCGGTTTCGGCCAATTCGTCTGACGCTGTTTCTGGATGAATGGTCTCGTTCACCTGGGCATCTTTTAGAGACGTCTTTAAAGCATGACGGCTCTCGTTCTCAAGGAGATTATTGGCGAGCGCTCGGTCTTCCTGAATGACGTGAGGAGTTTCTAGGGCCACGTCTTCAATGCGCGAGGCTGACGGGTCCGTCATGGTTCGTCGACGGGAAATGGAAATGCAGAATCAGCTTATATGTAAATAGTCATAGGAAAGACCTGCCAGAGCATCTGCCTGAATCTCGACAGAAATAAGACTTTGACCGAGTATTGACGCGTGTGAGGGGTTCACCACATGACAGCGACCGTCTTTTCCACTGCAAGACACGATGCTTTCACATTGATCTAAGCAGCGCGAATCTGCCAAATAGAAACATCATCCTAGGCTATGCCTGTTTTGCGTGGGAGAAAGCGTCTTCTGTTAGAGTGGAAGTGGCTTGGAGATAACTCAACGCGTACTGTATCTGCTTTCACGCTTACACCAGTGTAAATCTGTCGGTGATTTCGTTGGAAGATGAAAGTCTCGAGAGTGCCAGACTAGTCCAATAGCGCGGATGGGTGATGCCGCCAAATTCGATCAATCGCATGCCTCTTAGCTTGAGCCGGAAGCGGGCAGTGGGCACAACAAATCTTGCCCATATTCTCGCCTGCTGTCACTGGAAAATTCACGAAACACGATGCGCGGGCACTGGAAATGTGAGTTCCAAAGTGACTGACGAAAAACAGGCTCTGACCAGCATGGAAAATGGGACTGTCGCAGCGCGTGGTGCCCTGAGCGATTTATGCGGGCGAGGCGACGGTCAACTCAACACTGACGCTGCGCTGATTTTGTGGTTCGCGAACCGCAAAACCGAGGCATTTTGACGGGAAGGTAATCCCCAGGGAGACGAAAGCCAGACCGTTTGTCCTGCACGAGTGTCACCCCTCATTTTCGCTAAAGCACCCTACACAAAAGCTAATAAGCCCTACCCGACCACTCTTAACGGCGATGCAACAGATTAAACCGCAATCAGGCGTGCCTTTGGGGATGCGCATAGCCCCCAGCTAAGCAATCATGAACTCGAAAAGCAGGACAACCAAGGTGAAGAAACGAGGTAGGACCACAAAGCATCGCCATTTAGTTCTCAAAACGTTGTCACTTACACTTGTAGAGTTCCGCCTCCACGTGCGCTAGGAGTGCGACGTGCTTTCTTGTACTAGACAGACATGGAATTGCCAGGAGGCATTGAAGTAGACCGTAAAAAGTGTCAGGCGACCAACTCGCCTGCGCGACCAAATCGTAGATGGAACCTCACGAGCCTTTCGGGCGCCAGCATCTTAGAAATATCTCAATCACTCGGTTTTAACTCAGTCGCGATTCTCTTTCTCACGGCCGTCATGGTCTTTTCCATGGTCGCAGTTGGCGGCCTCTTTCCCCAGCCTCTTCAGTCCCAGAAACTATTTTTTCCGTCTGCTGACTCTTCTGTTACCGTCCGCCCGAACTCCTTCAACGGAATTCGTCGAATGAGCATCCCTGCCATCGAGGTTATTGAGATTCGGCCCGATGCTGCAGAGGCGAGCAGCGATGTTTCGCAGACTGGAAGTGGTAACTCAGAAGCCACCGATGTTTTCGCGGAGCAGAGCGAAGGTGGCTATCTGGATGAAGGCGCTACAGGAGCCGTTGCAGGGGAGCAAGAATCCTGGGCTGTGGCTCAGGAGGAGCCAAACGTAGCAGAAAAGCTGGATGAACGCGCCGCAGGAGCCGTTGCAGGGGATCAAGACTCATGGGCTGTGGCTCAGGAGGGGTCGGAAGTTACTCAGAAGCTGGAAAAATCAGTGACAGCCGAGAATCAGGAAGCTGCGACGTCAGAGAAGAATGACGAAATCTCGAAAGATCAGGAAAGCGTTGCTGAAAACCCGGAATCAGGGTCACTTGGTGACGTCGAAGCTTCGTCGAACGGAGCTGGGGATGTAGAGGGTGCGATAAAAGGAGAGAAAACTGTGACGAGAAATGTCGAGAATGTGGACAATGCGGAGAACGCGGATCATGCGGAGAGAGCGGAGATTGCGGGGCGTGCTGCAGCACTAGGCGACGTCTACGCGGTGGCAGAGGTACGTCACGGAAGGTTCGATACCTTACGGGTAAAGGCTACGTGTGTTTTGAGTCGACTCAAAACACTCCTGGAGAGGGCGAAGAGTTGGGCGCATGTTGCGGGGCTGTGTGACGTCACCGCCATGGCGGAGGTGGGTGGCAGAGGTGGCTGAGGTTCAAGTAGTCGATAATAACCCCCTCGCTCGCTTAACGGGAACCACTCTAGGGGATAATTATATTCCTCTCCTACCCCTCCGTCGCATCTTCCGCATTTCCCGCCTCTTTTTCGTGGAGAATACGCCCTGCCATAACTACACTCCACTGCGTATAGCTCGCTTGCTCACCTTTCCCTCATCGTTTTGTTTTCGCAACCGTTTTCGCGACCGTCCATTATCCAAAGCAGGGAGGAGTGATGGACCGTCTTCGAACCCTCTGTCTCGCGCCGGCCGTCGCGGCGACTCTCGCGCGTCGTCTGCAGGGAAAGCGGGATGGCGACGCGGCAGCCATGGCTGCAGGCACCGGTAGCAGCGGAAGCAGCAGCGGTAGCAACGGAACCAAAGTAACTATTATCTGGGACAACAATGCGGACAATGGCTTTAACTCTCTGTTTGCCGGGCCACCGAGGGTTGAAAGTCTGGCGGGAGTGCCGTCCGAGATGCTCGCTGACGTGGCTGTCGAGGAGACGTTGGATGAATCGCGCAAGGGGAGATTGACGGCCGAGATTGAGGTACGGGGATGTGAACGGGCGAAGCTGCAGGTTCCTTTGATGCTTACTTGACGGATTCCTGAGACGCCTTGGCCATCTTTTCCTGTATCCCTATTATCCTCTCCAGTGTCCTAATCATCCCGTCTTGTATGCATAATACCCTGTCCCATGTCTCAACCATAACAATCCGTGTCGGCAGGTGGCTATCCCAGAGTGCAAGGGGAACGAATCGACCGAGACCAGGACTACCACTATCAGCGCCAGTAGCGAGTCTGTTCGCCTGCTGCTGTCTCGTGTCCTTACTACCCTGTCCCATGTTTCAACTACAATGTCTCGTATCCCGGCAGGTGGCTATCCCAGAGTGCAAGGGGAACGAATCGACCGAGACCAGGACTACCAGCGCCAGTAGAGAGTCTGTTCGCCTGCTGCTGTCTTCAGCGATTGCAGAGCTGGTTGCGGCAAGTGGCAGCGGCGATACCGACGGCCGCGTTATTCTGGTACGTTCACTACATGTTCACCGACTGTCAACGTTTTCAGGGTTTTCAGCAACCTGGGCTCTCCAGGAAACTTACTCCTTCATTCCCTCTTTGCAAATTCCCGCTCTCCCCATCCTTCCACCAGTCACCGCAGGAAATCTGCACTGTGCGACGGCTAGAGGCGGCCTGCCTGGGCGGGGTGCGGCCGTCAGCAGGCGTGGCGGCCATCATGCGCGCCCAACCCGCCTCCGCGCTCTCAGCCCTCCCCCACTCCACTGCCGTGTATCTCGAGAGGGGGGCTGCCGCTGCACCAGGCGCTGGGAATGCAGCAGACGCACGAGCAGCAGAAGAAGCCACAGCCGCAGCGGAAGGGACTTGTGGGGGATGCGCAAACGATCCCCTTCTGAACTGCACAATTCGCACACTCGCCTGGAGGTTCCTCCGTGCGGGTTCCACCCATCTTTCCTCCTCCTCCGCCTCCTCCCCCTCCTCTCCCTCCTCCCCCTCCTCTTCCTCCTCTCCGTCCACCCTCTCTCCGGAGTCATCCTTCATAGTGGCTGCATTTGAGCCCGAGAACGCTGCTGCAGTGGCGGCCAGCTTCCACCCCTCCCGCGCGCCTCTCCTCCTCCCTGTCACCCAAGCCCGCCTCAAGCGCTGCTCTCGCTCCTCCTCCTCCCCAGCAGATAGAAGACTGCTTCACGAGTCCAGTGCGTCAGATTCAGCTGCTGCAGCTGCTGCTGCTGCTGCTGCTGCAGCTGGTGCTGCAGCTGCTCCTGGTCTGGATGTGACAGTGTGGGAGGGTGACAACATCGAGTGGAGCTGCGCGCAGCTGCAGGTGGCGGAGGCGTGGGTGGTGTCGGCAGCAGCGGCGCTCATCCACACCCGCGCGTCTCTCGAGGCCCGATTCCTCCTCGCCCAGGCCAGCGCCGGCACTGCTAGGCGGATCCTCTCAGGGGCTACGGGGGGAGGAGAAGGAACAGGGGTGGAAGAGGGAGCAGAGGGAGCAGACGCTGAGGTTCGTGACAGCAGCAGTGGCAGCAGCAGCGGCAGCAGCAGCAGCAGTGGAGCTTCGTTTGTTGTGGAGCCAAGTGTGTGTGAGGCGCCGCCTGCCGTATCGTTCAAGGGCACAGCAGAGCGGTTTCTGCGGCAGTTCATTGTGGATGGTACGTTGTGTGCCTGCCTGCCTGCTTGCCTGCCTGCCTGCCTGCCTGCTTGTTAAGTAAACAGGCGCCTGCTGCTGTGTCGTTCAAAGGCACAGCGGAGAGGTTTCTGCGCCAGTTCATTGTGGATGGTACGTTGCCCGCCTGCCTGCTTCATTGTTTGCCTGCACGACTGCCTGCCCACCTGCTGGTCTGCCTGCCTACCTGCCTACCTTCCTGCTTGTCTACTGAATTAGTCTCCCATATACCTCCCTCCTCTTTCAATCTACAGAGAAGCTCAAGACCATCTACTGCTTTGTGCCTAAGGTCGCCTGTACGAGCTGGAAAACCTGGTTCCGGCAGCAGCAGCAGGGGCAGGGGCAGAAAAACATTTCCGACGTGTACCTCACGCACGACCACTACAAGAGCGGCTTACGCATTCTCGCATACCACTATAACGAGTACGAGGTGATCCGACTGCTGACCCGCCCAGATTTCTTCAAATTCTCGTTTATTCGGAATCCGTACGCGCGGCTAGCCTCGGTGTATTTCAACAAGCATGTGAACGGAGGCCCGCCGTTCGGGCGGCAGTTTTGGAACAAGATGTTTTTCCGGGGTATTACCCCGTACAGGAAGCTGGTAGAGGAGCAAGGGGGCAAGGACCTGTTTGGGTTCAGCGACTTTGCGTATCTGCTGAGGAGTGTGGAGGAGAGGTTAAGGAGCTATATGGAGTCACACGTGCAGCCTCAGGTGAGAGAGGGAGAACATGGGGATGCGATGGGAGGGATGGGGGTCATGACTAGGCTGCCTGGGTGGAGGAGCAAGGGGGGAAGGACCTGTTTGGGTTCAGCGACTTTGCGTATCTGCTGAGGAATGTGGAGGAGAGGATGAGAAGCTTTATGGAGTCACACGTGCAGCCTCAGGTGAGAGATAGCAGTGGGGATGAGAATGGGGGGGAGGAGAGAGAGGGTTTCTTGTTTGGCTTATGAGTGTAGCTGGGTGGAAAAGGGTGAGTGGAGTTGCAGCTGAGAGGATGCTCGTTATATCTCTGAACATTAGTATCTGATCATCCAACTCTCTCCCCTGCACCATTTGCATTTGACTTCCTCCCATCCACAGATGGATGTTTGCCGGTTTGATGCCATCAAATTCGACTTCATTGGTCGGTTTGAGAGCCTTGATGCTGACGTGGCAGAGGTTCTGCATCGGCTGAATAAGACGGACGCCTCGGGTGCATTTTCCATTGGGCTGAATGCGCATAGGACAAATGCAGAGGACAAACTGACATCTTTATACGACGAGGTATGTCTCTTGCTGAAATGAGTATGTTCTCGCCCTCTTTCAGAGTGATTGCTTACTCTGGCTTTCGTGGTTACATCTCTTCTGCCTTCGATGTTTACCTGTTATTTTATCGCACTTTGTTTATTGCTGGTCTGCCTGTTGATTGCAGAGAGCCTTTACTGAGGCTTCACACTTGTACGCCTCAGATTTCAACATCCCATTGAATAACATTCTTTACGATGCACCAGAAGGGCTCGCTAGGAAGTTCAGGATGACAACTGCAGTCACCCAATAGACGAAATTGGCTAGAAACAATCAATATTATACGTAACATAGAGTTAGGTTTGAATGATTTGGATGCATTGGATGCATGAAGTTAATTGCTATTATTGTGCAGAATTCATTCTCCAGCTTACCAGGGGCATTGAAGCAAGGCCCTTCGATGCATTGGGATGCAGCAGAGACACAACAGTGCCTCTCTCCCTCAACACCCCCTCTGCTGTGCTCCTTCCACTCTCGCTGCCACCACTGCTGGCTGTGCTGCTGTCCCTGGCGCCAGGAGCACTGGTGGCGCAAGGTGGCAGTGAGACCTGGGAAGATGGGAGGGCGTGGAGGGGAGAGGGATGAGGGAGGATAAGTGGAGGGAGGGATAGAGGGAAGCACTGGCACTGGCAGCACTGGTGGCGCAAGGTGGCAGTGAGACCTGGGAAGATGGGAGGGCGTGGAGGGTTGACGGATGAGGAAGAATGCGTGGGGAAGGCAAAAGCGGGATTATTTGAGGGAGGCAAGAGGGGGAGCAAGTGAGGGAGGCATGAGCGGGAGCAAGTGAGGGAGGCATGAGGGAGAGCAATCAAGGGAGGAAAGAAGAGAGCAAGTGACAGAGCCACGAAGGGGAGTAAGTGAGTGAATGCATGTACGGCCAGTCACCTGCTCTACCCATCGCCCTTCGGCTGTCGTCGCACATTGAGCCAGATAAGTGGACTCGTGCACTTAACACAGCAGTAGAATCTGCACGTGCAAGCAAGGAGCTTTGCTGCACAAGGCACCCCACATCACATGCACCGCAAACCACTGGCTCTACCCGTGGCCCCTCAACCCTTGCCTCACATTGAGCCATCTCAGGGACGCATGAGGTGGCTCGGCGGGCATGTCTGCCTGTACTGCCACGTCTGGCCAGCTACCCATCAGCCTCAGCTCCAACGCTGCTCCCCTCCCTCAGCCGAGCCACCTGTTAAACCCGCGGCCCTGGACCCCTGTACTCACATTGAGCCATCTGAGGGATGCGAGAGGCAGGTCAGAGGGCATGTCTGCCTGCACCGCCACGTCCGGCCAGCTACCCATTAGCCTCGGCAGCAGTGCTGCTTCTGAGCCTGCTCCTGCTTCCGCTGCTCCTGCTCCTCCTCCTGCTGCCCCTCCTGCTGCTGCTCCTGCTGTCCCTTCTTCACCTGCTGCCGAGCCTACAGCAGTTCCTGCAGCAACAGGTCCAGATCCTGCCAGCATCACTCTTCTCATTCGGAGGCCCGGCAATGAGAGCGTCAAACGGCGCATGGGGAATCAAGTCACCTGCACTGCCGCTACCGCTGCTGCTGCTACTTTCAGAGTTGCTGCTGCTGCTCCCTCTGCTTTCTCCACCAATAATTGGTGGAGTACGTGTCTTCCGCCACACTATAGTGACCAGACCTCTATCCCCAACGCTAACAGAATCATCATGTAAGTCAGCAGACTTGATGGAGCTGACGGAGCTTTGACTGTCTTTGGAGGATTCCGTCAACCGTGCTGACTGAAACCTCCTGGCCAATACGGTGGCGACAGCTGGCGCCAGACAGAGCGTTTGAAATTGTGACATGGTCCCACCCTGCAATGTAGCATCGTGTGCGAGAATCACAGGATTATTGTTTTATGCATCAGATGGTATCATATAATCAGAAAGTGGTCTAAGAAGGGGTACCAGGTCGCTTTTCAGAATTCTCCAAAAGAAAAAACAGACGAACAACGGACGAGGCAAGAAATTAAGAAAGGTTAAAACAGCTTAGTCAACATGGCACAAACCTCGACCAGAGCAACGACTCGTGATAAAAGCTGGGTTGCTAGACGTCTCAACACCCAAAAATAAAAGAAAGGTAAAAACAGTCGAGCCAACATGGCCACAAACCTCGGCCAGAGCAACGACTATTAATGATGGCCTGAGTGGTCCTCCGTTCGCACTGAAGCTTGTTCCCGTGCTACTAGAACTGCTGCTATCAGCATCACTGCTGTGAGCAGCGGAGCTTGTTTCCATGACAACTGAACTGCCATTGTCAGCACTGCTGTGACCACTGAAGCTTGTTCCTGTGACACCAGAACCGCTGTTGTGAGCACCACTGCTGTGAGCAGCAATGGAGCTTGTTTCCATGGCAACTGAGCTGCCGTTGTCAGCACTACTGTGATCTCTCGAGCTTAATTCCGTGCCATCTGAACTGCTGGTGTAAGCAGTACGGTGAACAGTGGAGCTTGTTTCCATTCCAACAGCACCAAGACTCCCAGCATCCCCGTTCACGATAGGAACCTCGGTTTCCTGCCCCGTCGCTGATTTGCTAACGTGAGACACCTCTAACGAAGTTTGACAGACCGTCACTAAATCACTGTCTTAAGTCACCATAACTGGACCGAGGTTATTGCTGTCTCTCTGCATGGACCAATAGAAGTGTAGCACGCGTCCAATTGCTGTAACTCCAATGAAAATAAGCACCAGGAGGACGAGCCGGACGAGCGTTGCGTATATCGAAGTGGCAGTAACGAATCCGGAAACGTCACGCTTTCCCTTAGCCTTATTGCCTTTTTTCGAGCGCTGCTTGGAGTGATAACCCCCACCGAATCCTATGATTCTGAAGCACGAGGCGAATCTTCCGCCGACTGCTTGTGACGACAATTGGGGCCATGAATTTGGGAGAGCATTGGGGAGTACGGATGGGTAAGACGGAGAGGAAAGGCTATCAGCAGTGGGTGATGTAAGGCAAGTCGTTTCGGCCAATTCGTCTGACACTGTTTCTGGATGAATGGTCTCGGTCACCGCCGGGGCATATTTTAGAGACGTCGTTAAAGCATGACGGCTCTCGATTTCAATGAGATTCTTGGCAAGTGCTCGGTCGTCCTGAATGACTTGAGGCTTTTATAGGGCCACGTCTTCAATGCGAGAGGCTGACGGGTCCGTCATGGTTCGTCGACGGGAAATGGAATCGCAGATTAGCTTATATGTATACAATCATAGGAATGAGCGGCCAGCGTAAGAGGGGTTCACCATATGACAGCGACCGTCTTTTCCGTTGCAAGACACGACGCTTTCACATGGATCTAAGCAGAGCGAATTTGCTGAATAGAAGCATCATCCTAGGCTATGTGTAAGGAAATTCCCTTTTCCTTACTTCGCGTCCCTGCTCAACGCGTACATCACTGTAGCACCTCAGTCAGCACCGTTACCACTCGCGACCATCGCACCATTCATCATCCCGCCCTTTTCGCACACCGCATCCCGACCTCACGGCTCGGCTGGTAACCCGCGCTCCGGACCTACGCTTCGACACTTTCCCAACCTCAGTCCCAGGCTCGTCGCGCGACCATTACCGTTACCACTGTAGTTTTGCTATATAATGTTCGCTCATGCCTTCGCTCATTTGTATTCTTGCTTAGATAGTGCAATTCTCGTTCGTTTCACTCAATTGCACTCGTAACACTTGGTATTCAGAGCCTACGATCTCATCTCGGACCGCATCCACACCTTCGCTTCCCACTATCTCAATTTTTGGGGGGGGTAGACGTCTCTCAGCGACACAGCACCGCCGCTCGTAGTGCTCTCTCGAAAGCACGCACGGCCACGACCGAGGCTCTCGCTGAGCTTGCCCGACACCCCCGCCATGGCCGATTTCAATCTCGCCACGTTGACGCAGGAGCAACTCGATCGTCTCGTGCGTCAATTGGAGGATTCGGCGCTCGAAATCGCGACTCTCACGGCGGAACGTGACTCCTCCCGTCAACAGTCAACGGTGAACGTACCGACGACATCACACGCACCAACCAATGCATCTGCACATTCGGAGGAGCCCATCGTCATCTCACCCGGCACACCAACGCAACACAACAGCACGGGACAGCGCTCAGGCGCAGCCAGTGACGGCGCAGCCCAACCGATGCCCGGCATGGGAGGGAACAGGAGCGCATTAAGCCCACGGGAGCCCCGAGAAGCCCGTCGGCACGTGGAGTTTGCGGCGACAAGTGGCGAGAACGCCATGATGGCCCCAATGCCACTCAAGCCGCAACGCCCGCCCTGCTTCGACCCAAGCCAACGCGGCGGCCCGACAGTTCAATCGTGGGTCTTCACGATGAATGTGTTTTTCGACGCCAACTACGTTGAGTCGGACGCCGCCAAGATCCGGTATGCGGTTTCACTACTCAGGGGTGTCAGAATATTATCTTATTGTTCTAGCCTGTAGTGG